AATCTTGAGATGGAGTCTGAGTAAATTTAGAAAACATTCTTATTTTTCACTAATGGAATCTATGAACTGAGATGGAGTCTGGTAAAAGTAAGTAATCATTTTACAAAGAGGTAGCCCAGAACAGTGATGCACACCTGTAATTCCAGCAATTTAAGAGGCAGAGGCAGGAGGATCTCAAGTTCAAGGGCAGCCTCAGCAAGTTAGCAAGGCCCTAAGCAACTCTTGCTACCTCAAAAGAAAAAAAAAGGTGGGTGGGGCTGGGGATGTAGCTCAGTTGTTTAGTGCCCCTGGATTCAATCCCCAGTACCAAAAGCAAAGAAAAAAAGAGATGAATTGTGAATTTGCTATTATTTAGAAGATAAGTGTTTATTTTAGCATCCAGGAAAGTTCAGTATTCTCTGTGGAGTAAAAGCGTACAAATTAAGCTATTTTTTGACTGGGCTGGAGGGGAGGAATATTTTCCCACTGAAACCTTTCCTGATTTTCTGGAAACAATACAGTGTAAGTTTTGATTTAACTAATGAAGTTGTATTTTTACTTTTTATTTTGGGTATCTTCCATTGGAATCCTACCTACCTAAATATTTTTTCAAAATAAGATAAAAAATAGAAATAATATATTCATCTAGAACCTAGAGTATAAATGTAGCATTTAAAAACATTCCCAGGTTCTTGAAATTCTTAATAGATCTCTTTGTTTGTAACTAGAATTTTAGAATGTCACCTGGAATGTTAGGATTTTTGTGAAGGGCTGGGAGTGATTTCTTCTTTCTATTTTTGCCTGCTAGCTGCTGTGATTGGAACCAGGCTGCATGCTGCTGTGGCAATCGCTTGCATCGTAATGGCCTTTTATGTCTTGTTTATAAAATGAATTACAAAATACCCAACTCATCAACTGCCAACCAAGGGGACAGGGGTGAAGAACCTGTTGGAGGCCTGGATCCAGTGTAGGAGAGTTCAGCCAAAACCATCAATGTCCTCAAGATGACATCACAGCATCTGCCCCTGCCATATGTGAGGAAAACTACTTGTGGTCACGGATGTTATTTATGCTTTAGGGGACTCCAGAAAGCCAACTTCCTTTGATCTGTGTGTAAATTGGCTCTCAGCAGTGAACACATAATGTCCAGTTTAATTATACCCATCAATGATAAGATTACATACCTCCTGCTTTTAAAAAACCTGTCACCTGGGCTGGGGTTGAGCTCAGTGGTACAGTATTTGCTTAGCATGTGTGAGGCCCTGGATTCAATTCTCAGCACTGCAAAAAAACAAAAATAACACCAACATGTCACTTATTTTGTTCTTCAACCCCTCATCAGGATCTTTTCAAACTGAGGCGTATAGGGAACGACATAGGCTGTGTTCAGACCTCTTGAAAGGAGATAATTTTCAAGACTTGACTTTTTTTTAACTGTTTAATATGGTTTTGGCAAATTGGGGAGGGAGGGTGCCAGGTGGGAAAAAGGAGTTATGAAAGGCCAGGAAATTGCTTTGTTTTAGAAAACTGTCTTTTATATACTTATTTGGGAACATGAGAGAGAGGCATGGCTCTCATTGCAAAGAGAGAATAGATGAAGCAGCTTGGTGTATGCTGAGAGCTTGAGTTTTGCCAAGAGAATCTGAGCTCATATAAAAATCCAGGAATTAACCATCTGTGATGAGACTAAAGAGCAGTGATTAAGACAAGAAAACACTTCCTGTTCACCTGTATCCCCAAAAGAAGACTTTACTCAATCAAATGGTATATGAAAAATGAATCAGCTGTTGCTATTTCCTAAGGCTTTTTTATATTTTCTAACTTAGTGCTAAATACTGTTACTCAGTTTTAAATGCTACCACTAGGGGAAAAAGAAACTGTTGAAGAAATAATTGTTTAATATATTTGCAGTTAGAGGAGAAGATATAAATTAGCATATTAATTCTTATACTAGTGAATTCATCTAGTATAAGAATTTATTGTGATGTTATATGGAAGTTTTCTCATGTTATAAAAGATTTATACTTAGTCTTTGTGTTATGGCAATTTTTAGTTGACTACCTGTTTTCTTGGCCAACTGCAATTTCTTTATATCACAGTCTTTTTCATTGTTTCTGGAAATTATTTACTGGGGAAACATGAGAAATTCAAACAAGAATTTGCTGATATTCGTTGGCATGTTTGGACAGTTCATAGACTCCATTAGTGAAATAGAATGTTTTCTAAAGTAAAGGAGAATAGAACTTTACAATTCAGAGAAAAGAGCTTTTTCATTGACTATGGCAATTCCTGAGCAAATCTTTTCAGATGACAACATTTTCAGGAAAGACTTTTCTGCTCCCTCCTCATATATGCAGAATCAGCTGTTGAATTTGTGAAGCTAAAAAATTCTGTATATGAAAAAAAGTCTAAAACTAAATTATAGTAAGCAAGCATAGATAAAGATCTTCCAGTTGAATTGTCTATTACAGCAAAACTTGACTGTGGACAAAGTTAGCTGTGGATATCTCCTGTGTGGCAATAAATTAAATTGTCTTTTGTCTGTTTTCTATAAAAGATTAAAAGCTGCTAGGAAGTTTAGGTTCTACTATATGCAGTTTCATGCTTTGAGGGATCCTACAAGCACAGACATCATCAAGTAAACACTACATGTCTAATCATCTCAGAGTTGTGGCTGTTATCTCTTCAGGGATTGGTCCACAGGGTAAATTTCAGTTATTCATGTTTCCAATTGTCATTTCTGGAGTCTTTCATATGAGAAAGGAATAGAAAAGAAAAGTTACATCTTATGGTGTGAATTTGGAATCTGTTGGTCATAGGGAATGTGTCCCTGGGAACAGGTTCAGCATGTTTTGCACTTGTTATTTGGTAGCTTTAATGACTTGTTTTCTAATAGGGCTAATGTCTCTAAGTTTGGTGCTTAGAGCTGCTTCATATTTTAAACTAGTTCCATTCCACATTGTAGTTCAACCAATTTTTATAACTGCCTGGGTGGGTCATCTTGGCCTAGACTCTTTGAGTGGTGGTACTTTGAGATTTTTCATTCCAGAATGTACCTAAAAGTCTACAAGGTAAAGATAATTTATAGCAAGAAACAAATACACAGTCTTTCATTTCTTGATTTCATATAAACAGAAAAACAGAAACTTTAACTCATTACTTTGGTTGATATGTCATACATTTTTGGCTAAAAATTATATAAAAAAAATTGTTCCTCTGGGGAAGTCTTAGGGGTGGGGGCGTAAGGAGAGCAATATTGCCTCAAATTCAGCTTGGTATCACCATAAACCCTGTGTACCAGGGTAGAATGAAGTCAGCTCCTTTTTATAATTGAAGTACAGTTTTTTATTCATCAATATCTGCACAAATCCTTGAAAATAAAATTTCTTTCCCTACAATATTTGTCCATTTTATTTGACACGTGATGAATTTGTTGAACTTTTTTTTTCAGTACTTCCCTTTGATTCTGGTAATAGCTCACCTATTTAGTTCACATTAGTGAATGTCTTCATTCCTGTTATCCACTTGTGAGGGTCATTGAATGATGATAGAGTTGAGAATATATGATAGCCTAGCTTTCTCCTTTCAGGGGAGATGAGGTTTCATAAAACTTAGGTATTTTGAATAAGGTAGAAAGCACTCATGCAATACATTTAACCTACCTTTGCTACTAAAATGTAAGTATTATCTCCCATAATCAATGAAGTAATTTATTCAAATGAAGTTTATCAGGTAAACCAGCCAGGCACCTAAAAAAATCTTTCAGCCAACAGAATCTTGTCTCATACAACAGATATTCCCCTACTCCTATTTGTTTATTCTAAGTGCCTGGCACATATACAGATTATGATTTAAGAAATTATTTCTATTAATCTCTAAAATTCTTTTGCTTTATCTTCTCCCTACACTCTAATTTCATTGAAAAAGAAGGGAAGAGGAACTGAGATGTTGAAAGTTGTGATCTCTACTGTGAGAGGTGCCAGTTCTACTTACATAATCACTATTCATTTTATCTTTTTGGTGGTATTGGGCTGCTATTTTTCACTATACTTGTGGACTTTGAAAGTTAGACATGTTTTAATGGATGTGAATGTAAATGACTGCCACACCATCAAATTCTGAGCAGCCAGAGGGCTCTGTGAGGCAAGGGATATGCCTTCCTATCTTTACCCATTTCACAGATACCCTGACCACCTTGTTTTTGAATTTAAATATTCCTCGGGTGCTCCAGATGTGGCTCTAGCGGTAGCACGCTCACCTTGCATGCGGGGGCGTGGGGGAGGCGATGGATTCGATCCTCAATACCACAAAAGTAAAGATATTATGTTCACCTAAAACTAAAAAATAAATATTAAAAAAAAATATTCCTGGGGCTGGGAGTGAGTGTGACTCAGTGGTAGAACATGACTAGCATGGGTAATGACCTGGTTTTGGTCCCCATTACTCAAAATATGTATCAAGAAAAGCAAATCTAGGGCTGTGGTTGTGGCCCAGTACTGGGTTCGATTCTCAGAACCACATAAAAATAAGTAAAATAAAGATATTGTGTCCTTCAACCACTAAAAATATTTTTTTAAATGAAAACTCCATTCCTCACCTTTTCTGTGGTGAAATGATGCTTGCCTTCTCCCTTAGAAGAACTCTTGGAGCAGCTGATGCTCTTGGTGGTGACTATTGGTCACTCTGTCCGTGCAAAATAAACCATTCACCTAAAAATCTGACATTGGATCATCTTATACTCAACATTTTAAAATTTAAGACAAAAATTAAGTCGAGATAAAAGAAAACTATAGGTGTGCATATGAAGGTTTATATGAATTAATATAAAGATCAAAAGACAACCACCATTCAGTATTAACTCAGTCTCCTCTCCCTAAGGCCTCCAAGCCACACGAGGGCAGCAGGACGCGTCCTGGACAAGATTGTGCTAGAGAGTCACCCGCCTATGGTGGGTGGCTTCTCCCAGAATCCTCCGCGGCGGCGGCGCCGGAGGGTTTAAAAGAGGGTGCGGACTTCCGCTGCCTCACGGGAGGGAGAGCGGCCTGGGCTGAGGGACTGTGTGTTGTGTGGAAGGTGCGTGTGGGCCCAGTGAGCGAGTGGACGCTCGAGTGTGTGTGCGTGGAGCGTGCAAGGCGAGTGCGTGTGCCCCACCTGCGCCCCTCCCCCCGCCTACACCTTGATCTTATTTGATCGGGTCGTGACCCCAGCCCCGCCGGGCCGCCCCGAAATGAAAAGCTCTCCTCCTGCGAAGCCCCCTCCTCTGGGCGCTGTGCAGTGAGGCCCTTTGGGCGGCGGCAGCGCCGCGGTCCCTGAGGTCCCGGAGCTGGTCCTATGGGCCCGGTGCTCAGAAGTGATGAATTGATCAGATAGACGAGGCCGGGCCTGTCCCGGGCCAGTGATTATCGAGGCGATTCTGATCTGAGCCCAGGCCACAGTCACCGGCTACCGAGCTTCAGGACGTTGGAGCAAGCACGTTACCGATCTGTGGCTGTGGCCGCTGACATGCGGAGGCGGAGAGTGAATGGGCCGAGAGCAGTTTCCCTGCCTCGGAGCTGGAAGGTGACCGAGGCCTTCCCTTTTTCCTTTTAGGATAGGGGTGTCTCTCTCTCTCTCTCTCTCTCTCTCTCTCTCTCTCTCTCTCTCTCTCTCCTTTTTTTTAAATATCTTTATTTCATTTTTATGTGATGCTGAGGAATGAACCCACTGCTTCACGCATACTAGACGGGCGCACTACCACTGAGCCACAAACCTAGCCCCCCAATAGGCTTCTCTTTTGACTGTGGTACTCACGCTGGTGCCCCCAGAGCTAAAGGCACCTTACAGTCGCTGCCGCTAAGGCGGAAAAAGAAGTTTGTCTTACATAGGTACACATTAAACTTACAGGAATACACATTCCAGGGATTTGTCCAGAATTTAACGAATTAGAATAGAAATCTAGGAATTTTAAAACTTTATTTTTTCCACCAGGGATTGAACTCCGGAACATTCAACCACTGAGCCCATCCCAGCCCTATTTTGTATTTTATTTAGAGACAGGGTCTCACTGAGTTATTCAGCGCCTCCCTGTTACCGAGGCTGGCTGTGAACTCCTGCTTCAGTCTCCTGAGCTGCTGAGATTACCACTGCGCCCTGCAATTTTTAAAAATTGTACATATTTATGAAGTACCATGTAATGTTTCAATGCACGCATACATTATATAATATACACTTTAGGTAAATATTTCTGTCTGGAAAAAGTATCTTTATGATGAAGACATTCATTCAACATTTGTGTTTCTTCTCTCTCTCTCTCTCTCTCTCTCTCTCTCTCTCTCTGGCATTGAATCCAGACTTAACCACCGAGCTACATCCCTACCCTGCTTTTTTTTTTTTTAAGACAGTCTAAATTGCTTAATGTCTGGCTAAGTTTCTGAGACTGGCCTTGGCATCCCCAACTGTACTCACCAGCATATACAAACCACATTTTATTCCCACTATGAAAGCAACTTTTTTTTTTTTTTTTTTTTAATATGAAGAGATGCTGTGTATTTGCCTTTCTGTGCCTGGCTTATTTCACTGAATGTAATATCTTCCAATTCCATGTGTGATGTTGCAAGTGACAGGATTTCACTCTTTATGGCTGTACAGTATTCCATATTTGTATATCACATTTTCTTTATCCATTCATCCATTAGTGGACATCAGTTGATGGAATTTCTTGTCCTTATGAATAATGCAGCAGCAAACATGGGAAGGAGGATGTTTCTTTAACATACTGGTTTTATTTCCTTTGGATGTATACCTATTAGTGGGATTGCTGAATCATATGGTAGTTCTATTTTTAATTTTTTGAGTAATCCTCCTTACTGTTTTCAATAATGGCCATACTAATTTACATTTCTACCATCAGTGTTCCCTTTTCTCCACATCCTCACCAGCACTTGTTATCTTAGTCTTTTTGATAATTGCCATTTTAACTGGAATGAGATGATATTTCATTGTGGTTTTAATTTGCATTTATCTGATGATTTTGAACTTATTAATACCTGTTGGATTGTCTTTTGATAATTATCTATTTAAGTGTATTGTGCATTTTTTATTTTTTGTTTTTTTTGAGGTCCTTACATATTCTGTATATGAATGTCTCTATAGCTTGCAAATATTTTCTCCCATTCTGTAGGTTGTTTTCCTTCACCATGTTGGTTGTTTCTTCTCTGCAGAAGCTTTTCAGTTTGACATAATCCCTTTTGTTTGTCTTTTTGCTTTGTTTCCTGTGTTTTGGGGATCTTATTTAAAAAAATCTTTGTCCAAATTGGCTGCAGTGGCACATGCCTGTAATCCCAGTGACTTGGAGACTGAGGCATCAGGATCAGAAGTTCAAGGATAGCCTCAGCAACTTAGACCTGTCTCAAGAAGGACTGAGATGTCCAATTCAAGAACACAGGATGTCAACAATTTTTTTTTTTTCTTATTTTAGAGATTTTTCACCTCATGGGTTAAAATTTATCCCTTGGTTTTAGTTTTGTTTTTGTGGTACTGGGGATTGAACCAAGGGCCTCAGGCGTGCCAAGCAAACCCTATATCATTGAACCACATCCCAAGACCCTTGTTTTTTAGTTATTGTAAATGGAATTGCTTTCTTGATTGTTTTTGGATTATTCACTATTGGCACGGAAACACCACTACTTTATGTATTTTGATTTTGAATTCTACAACTTTATTAAACTTGTTTATTAATTCTAGTAGTTTTTTGGTGGAGTATTTGGGGTTTTCTACACATAGCATTGTGTTGTGTTCATACAATGACTTATTATATATGGACTTTATTATGCTGAGGTATTTTCCTTCCACACCTCGTCAGAGGTTTTATCAGGAAGGGATGTTGAATTTTGTCACATGCTTTTTTCTGTATTTATTGAGATGATCACATGATTTTTATCCTTCATTCTGTTGACATAGTGTATCATGTTTATTGATTTATATGTAGTGAATAAACTTTTTAATGTGCTATTGGATTCTATTTGCTAGTATTTTTAAAATATTTATTTCTTATTTGTATACAATACCTTTGTTTATTTTTATGTGGTGCTGAGGATCGAACCCAGGGCCTTGCATGTGCTAGGCGAGCACTCTAACGCTGAGCTACAACTCCAGCCCCAGCCACAACCCCAGCCCCTATTTGCTAGTATTTTGTTGAAGATTTTTACATGTATGTTCATCAGGGATATTGGTCTATAGCTTTGTTTGTTGTGTCCTTGTCTGATTTTGTAAAACGAGTTTGGAAGAATTCATTCCTTTTTAGTTTTTTGGAATAATTTAAGAATAATTTTTAAAAAATGAATTCTTTAAATGCTTGGTAGGGATCTATATTTTATGTATCTATCTATCTATCTAGTTATTTATTTATGGTACTGGGGATTGAGCCCAGAGTGCTTAACCACTGAGTCACATCCCTATCCCATTTTAAAATATTGTATTTAGAGACAGTATCTCACTGATTTGTTGAGGCTGGCTTTGAACTCAGGATCCTCTTGCCTCAGCCTCCCAAGCAGCTGTGCTGGGTGGGTTCAATCTATCTATTTTTATAGTCCATAGGCTTTTATTAATTTTTTACATTTATTATGTCAGGAATTCAAAAGTTCATGCTCCTTTTGTTCTCACAAAATGTGCTTCTCTAGATGGAGCAGGCTGGTGCTGCAGCTGAATCCAGTTACCTTTCTCTTTGGATTCCTTCTTTTTCTGATCATTTTCCTTCACGTTTCAGGAAGCTGTCTCGGCTCTTGGGGTGCTTAATATGCTCAATACGCACATTAATTCTGTTGGCAGGAATCTTGCCCTTAACTTGATTATTCACAACAATGCCAACAGCATGGTGGGTAACATTGTAGACTCTCTGTTTTGCCATTATTACTTACATTTGTGGAACATTCCTTTTTAAATAGCACCCATTCCCTTAATGTCTACAATATCACCCTTCCTGTAGATTTGCATATATGTGGCCAAAGGAACAACTCCATGTTTTCTAAAAGGCCTAGAGAACAAATATATCAGGTTCCTCTCCTCTTTACCTTTGTTTGTCATTTTGGTGAATTACTGGAAGATAGTGGTTCCAGCCAGAAGTCTTTATAAATATTTTTTCCAAAGAAGCCCAATTTATTACTTTCCTCATACAAGTCCTGTTCTTTTCCATGGTGATTGATGTGCCTTTTCCACAAATTCCAACCTTCCTTCTACCCATACTCCCCATGTCTGTTAAAGTGTATATAGAGATAGCAGATACATTTGTTAAGGATTTTGCCTGATATCAACATTAGATTTCCAATGATTTCTTCTTTCAGGTACAATGTTGCAATCCATTCATTCTTCTTCCAGTCTTTTTTTTTTTTTTTTCTTTTTCCAGTCTTGAAGCCATACAGGGCCTAAGTTTAGAATGGTTTTTCAATTTCCCAGGACCCCAGTTTTGTCATATATTCCAAACATGCTCCTCTTATTCCAACCATGAACCACTTTCCAGAGCAGAAGGGTGACCCTCATACAGATTAATCCTGGAACACCCAGAGGCCTCGGAAATCCAGCCCCACAAGCTCTACCCACCCCCATCCCCCAAGAGAACTGCCATTGCTCTGAACTCTCAACAGCACACCTAGCTTAAGAATGAGGGCTAGGTGTGGCTTTTAAGGAGATGACTTCAAGGACCATTCATTGGCCTCACGTGGGTACTAAGCTGGAGATGGCCATCTTGGCCTTATCAGGGTCTGTATTTTTAAAAGCTTCAACATGGACAATAGTAATAAATTCTGTTTTTGTGCTGAGGATCAAACCCAGTGCCTTACACATACTAGGCAAACATTCTGTCACAGAGCTACATCTCCAGTGGTAATATAATCTGTTAACTGCACATCAGGTGATTGATTATCCAAGGAGTCACCTCTCTACCAACTTTAGTCATTTTAAATAATGAGAACTGAAACTTAATATTGCCATGTGCCAGCAAATACTATCTAAATAGAAAGTCCCACTGGAAGTTTGCTTTAAGGACTACATTTGAGTACCTGGAAGAAACCCTTTCACAACTGAATTAATGCATACATTGTCAGACAATTAGATAATTAGTGTTATGTTCTTGGTTATCAAAAATACTCATGTAACTTTGGGATTTTGAATTGGTGAATATTCATGATTCGTGGAAAAGCATGATACACACTACAATCTTAGTCACACAAAATGGGATATTATGTATGTACATGTACAACCTGGAGGGACAAGTCTAGCTAAGTTGCTTGTGACTGGATGACTTTGTTCTTTGCTTGTGTTTTTTACTTTTTTCTGTAATGCACAATTAGCTTTTTTTTTTTTTTTAAAGAGAG